GACTAAATGTAGAAAACATAAAAGATATAGCGAACAAAAGCAATAACTTAAAAAGAGATTTAATTTAATTTGTTTTTGGGGAAAAAGATTACTGATTATTACTGATATATTTGCTATAAATCACATTACAGTATTTATTAAAAGAAATGAAATATTAATGTATATTCTCAGTAGTTTTAATTTGCTAAACCAGGTAGTTTTTCAAGTAATAATTGTCTCTTATGTGAACTGGGGAAAAATATAATTTCCAGATTTATTTTTTCAGGTGGTAATTTTTATTTTCACTAAAAAATGTTAAGTATCAATGTAATCATTTATATAATGATAGATTAGTACACAATTGTATGTCAACACATTATTTATTACCTTAAACTGTTATTATTAAAGGGTTGCGCTTGCGTAAAATTTACTATCGTGGAAATTCAGCTTTTTTGCTTTTTGGCTAATCTCATCCCTGTAAATATGAAATGGGTTTTATACTTTATCAATAACTATAAACTATTTCTGCTAAAAAAATGAGTTCTAAATGTTATTACTTCTAGTTCTTTTAATTATTGCATTGGTAATGTAATTTAATGTATAATAATTTTTGTTATTCCTATTTATGGAACATAAATCTTCACTTGTTAATTTCTTTTCTTTTTAATGTAGGGTTTATTGCCACAACGTCAGCATGAACGTACTCCAGACCAAGAGAAAATTGAAAAACGTCGTCAAATTCCTTTCCATAAACATATTAATTTGGAATTGTTGGAATGTGTTTACTTAGTGTCTGCTATGTTGCTAGAAATCCCGTATATGGCTGGTAAGTTTTATTGGAAAAATATAATTAAACTCTTTCGTATTGTAATCTAAAACAAAACTTTTCCAAAAATACAGTATAAAAATTATAATGTAGATTGTCACCGACCACAGTGCTGACATGAAATATTCCCAGTGGTAGATGGATTGTGGGTTAGAGTCATCTTGTCGTCAGGCTAACCGTGGGAGGTTCTCGTGGTCTTCCTCTGTATGTAATGCAAATGCGAGTTAGCTCCATCAAAAAAATTCCTCCAGAAAGGCAACTTTCTCCCCATACTTGATCCAGGAGTTTCCTTGTCTTCTGGATTGGGTTCAAAATTACAAGGCTACAGAGTTGAACATTGGTCTTCATAAACCTAAAGTTAGGTCAGCTGTTCAATCACAGTTATAAAATTATCCTACTCACTCGTTTAGCCATCACTCTTCTTGAGCTGTATTTGAATGAGTCTTAAGAATCATATATCTGTTTGCTTCTGTAGTTTTAACTTTTTTGACATATTTTGAGGGTTTTGATACATAAATCAAGAAGTATCATCAAAAACTAAAATTTTAGATCATAAAGTTTTGCAAATTCGGCAAATAATGTGAATCATAATTTAGTGTTATAAAAGTGAACCTCAAAAATATGGTCGCTTTAATTTCTTTAGTATAATCTTCGTTAAGTCGCTTTATTGTCAACTGATGCCCTATGATGAAAGATTATCTACTGTAAATTTTTATTTTTAATAATTTCATTCATATTTCCTAGTTAGTATACTTGAAAAATAGTATAAGTGTAAAAAAGGTATACTTTTTCAACAAATATTATTTTTTTAACTTACAAGATAGTCAAGGGGTGTTAAAGAATAAAATTTATATTTAACTGTCTGTATAAATTTTTTCAGCTTTTAATTATTTTCTGTTAAATGAAATGAAATTTTTGAAATGCAATCAACCTTTGTGCACTGGAGATATATTGTTAAAAATTCTCAACGCTCACTTTTTTTAAATTTCTACATTCTATTTTAAATGCATTTTAATTTTTATTCAGTATATTAATCAGAAGTAGTTAGTCAATTCACCCCAATATGCAGGAGGTATTATTATCACCTTAGTTTCATAATTCCTTAATGTATGCATTTGGACTCCTTAGCAATAATGAAGTGAAAACGGAATACACATACTAAGGGTGGCCGATTAATATTTTAGAGAGAAATACAATATTTTTCAAACCTATTTGATTGCTGATGGGGTAGTAAAAAGCAATTACGCACCTGCGATCAAACTGACTTACTGACTAAGTCCACATTGCTTAGTGGTGATTCATTGGGTTTTGATTACAATTTGGTTTTTTTTTAGTTTAAATATTAATTTGTTGTCCCTGAGTAAAATATGACAAGGGATCTAACTATATATTAAGAACAATGTTTGTGAAGAAAAAAAATTTAAAATAGTGGGGTCATTAGTGTTTACTTTTAAATTGAAAGTTATAACTAGTGATGTATATATATTTTTTAATAATTTCATAGTTTGTGACGAGAAATGTTGTCTTAATTTTTGTATAATACCTTAACATTTAAATTTTTGACTTTATTAATTTCAGCTCATGAATTGGAAGGGAGGAGGAGAATGATTAGCAAATCATTTCACCATCAGTTAAGAAATAGTGAACGTCAAGCTTTAGTTGGTTAGTATATATGTGAATTCTCTATATATTGGGAGATATGTGTTGCATGTCTTAAATTCTATGTCGGTGAGGTTGAGTTTGTCTAAAATAACAGGGCTCCCACAGTTGAGGGGGAGAACAAGGAAAACCTAGAATTGTCAGAGAAAGTTGCAATTTTTCTGGAAAATTCCTATATACCTGGAAAAAAATCAGTCTTATAATTGTCAATACCAAACATCTGTTACAACTATTTTATAAAATTCCACCTCTAAGTGAAACTTTTCCATTTTCATTTTATAATATGTTTTTGTTCACAAAATCTAATATTTAATATTACAAATGTAAAAAAAATCAAGGTTTTCTGATGAAAAATAGCATGGTATAGATAAAATACTGTATGGATTTTCATTAAAATTTACCTGTTATACCACTTTAGCCCAATGATTAGCGGTCGAGCCTACAATCAGTTCACTTTTTACAACTTAGCTCTAAGTGACTGTCGCTTTTCGTCAGAAATAGACGATTGCGGTGACAGTAGGAAATTATTCAAAATTTCTAATATTACTTAGTTAGATAATTTATATGAATGCAGTTCCTGCCACATTACATGGCAGCACCGAGACTCTATTTGGATGCTAAAGTGCACCAGGAATTTAATTTTGCCGGAAATGCCAAGAGCCAATAAGGCACTCCAGGGATCTTTTACATGCCGCATAATCATACGACATGGCCGCTGAGGATTTTCTGCATCCCGAAAATCCGGTGTCTGGGCCGGGGATTGAACCCGCAAACTTGGGTTCAGAAGACCGCCGACAAACCAACTGCGCCACCCAGCCACTGAATAGTTAACTGTTTTGGTATATTTGATAAAATTATTCTATTATCAGAAATATTATAACAGATACTTTTGGATTGTGAACGCAGATACTTTATGTTTTAATCTTACTATGTAGGGGAGAGTCGGGTAGCCCCGCCCACTGTCAATTTCATATGTATAGAATATTTTTTCAAGTCAATGGGCCATCGGACATTGATTATTATATTAAAAAAAGATTATTTTCAAAGTTTCAAGTATTTATTAAGCTGTTAACATGGTAAACAATAGTTTTGAAAATGTGTTGAATACAGTCATGAAATTAAGAAAAATTGGTTGAACGTTTCGATTAAACTTCATTTTAATACTAAAAAAATAATTTTTTCTATACATACAGCATTAAATTATGTAGTCTTAAGTTTAATTTGCACAAAGAAAGAAGTTTATATGTGAAAAATTGTTCGAGTAATTACAAATTTACAAAACAATTGGATTTCGGGTAGCCCTACTCACATGATTGTCGGGTATCACCGCCCAATTTTATTACGTCGATAAATGTACGGTTGCAAATATTACTATTTTATTGCTTCAAATTTGAATGTTATATGCATTTTTAGCTACAAATATTATTGTTATTAAATGATAGAACTCACTAAAAGTATATAAATATGTAATAAATAAAATAATTTTGTGATAAAAATGATAAACGAGGTTTGCCTATTGTCAATACATTGGTCATTTTCCTTTACACCTGAAAAAACAGTCAAAAAACATAATTTTGGTAACTGGGCGGGGCTACCCGACACATTTTGAAAAGAGCTGAAAAACATTTTTTTTTTAAATTTCTATTTTTTTAAGTTAAACTATTCTTTTTTTAGTTTATTCTTTTTGCATTATTTAATTAGATGATAAAATAGTAGAAACATACAAAAATATTGATTATTACTCAATATTATACAGAAATATAAGCAATACTCCTTAAGTGGGCGGGGCTACCCGACTCTCCCCTATTTGAGTTGGCAAAAAACATACTAAATTTTATTTTTCATAGGACCACCTGAAAGCATGAGAGAGCATGTTGTTGCTGCCTCCAAAGCTATGCGTGTTGGAAATTGGAGAGCTTGTAAGGATTACATCATCAATGAAAAAATGAACTCAAAGGTAAGGCTGCTGCTAATTTTTAAATATTTGTTGCATCCTATCCGATGTTTGTTTTGATAATTTTATCGGGGGACTGGCAAAAATTGTGAAAATTCAGGAATCAGGAAACCAGAATTGAATGTTCTTCTCAAATTATTGTGACTTTGTCCTATATGCTGTGAAATTAAAAAAACTAGCCTCTCATGGACAAGGTTGTTTATTAGTAATGTGGGTCCATCTTTTAGCTGATAGGAGTTAAAAATTTAATTTACAAGAATCAAACGCAATAAGCATTCTAAAGAAATAAAGATTTTATGCAGTAGTTTTATCCTTTTACTACCCAATTTTGCATACAGTCCCTGTTTTCTTTATTTTTCTTCTTTTGAAGGCGTTCATAAAAGAACTTCTTCAACACAGACAAATCGGTCTCATCAATTTTGCTGAAGTGGTGTTTATCTTTCAAGTGTCTAATGCGTCATTGCATATTGAGGTGGTATTCATTGTACGTGCATGTTACTCCATGACCCTATAGGATCTGAGACTGGTATTGCACTGACCAGTGAAGCAATTTCTTTTCTTCTTTCACCCCCGTCTGTTTCTCAATCGAACCCTGGAAGAAGGTCGTGGATATTAATTATAATTTTGAATTAAATTTTTTTACACAATTAAGTAAAGTAATTATTAATTTAAAAAATAGGATGAGCCACTCAATTCGGAATATTTTTAAAATTGTGTATAAATTATTTTTATGGTGGCTAATATAATAAAAAAAAAGAGTTTTTTTGTCAGAAACTAGTTATTTTGTCATGATCTAGTTAAGTCTTTGAAAATTATTTTGCATTTGGTTAATGAATATATGAAAAGCTTTCAACAATAAGAAGAAAGTGCATTTTTAAGTCGTTTTCATAGCTTTATCATCTGCACAATTTAATTAGCATATTGAAGTCACCCCTTTGAACTACTAGATTGAGTTCTTAAACAAAAATATCCGATCCTTAGATCAAAAATTATTTAGGGTGGTCCGTTTTTTGTTTTTCGCACTGTACATTAACATTGCCTTTGAGTTTTAGCATTAAAGTACCATCTGCCAATTCAATATTCCAGCAAGAAAAGATAAATTATCAATTTCAAATTTTTTTCCTTTTGGCATATAAAAAATAATGAGTAGAAGAATGTATTGAAAAATTTAATTGACTTCCGGGGGGGAGTTTTCGGTGACCGGTATTTGCCCTTCCCTGTTTATATCAATTGTGTAATAAACTTTAGACTTATAGACTTAATTTCCTAAACTGTCAAGTTTTTTCACTTAGGTTTGGGATCTGTTCCATCAAGCAGAAAAGGTGAGAGAGATGATTTCTCAGAAAATTCAAGAAGAATCACTGAGAACTTATTTATTTACGTACAGTTCCAATTACGATTCCCTGTCTGTACCTCGACTAGCAGAAATGTTTGAATTGGAAAAGAGTGTTGTACACAGTATTCTTTGCAAAATGATTATAAATGAAGAATTAATGGTAAGTTGACACACATCAGTAGTTATGTAATTTTCATTTGCTTTTAATTAAAATGTTAAATTTGAAATGAAACAAATTAATCTCCATTGCATACTCCAAGCATCAATTCTTTGCTAGTCTGGGATCCTACAAAGAATTTTAATGGTTCTTTTTTTCTTATACAAAAAATATAAGAAGAAAAGCACTGTCCAAATTTTTGGAAAGCAGTATACTTTCATCTAACATATATTTTTAGGTAAAAGCGAAAGTTAAATTTTTAAATGTTCATTTTAGTTTTAAAAAAGTGTTAAAAATTTTATATCAATATTTAGCTAGGCCAAATTTAAAAATAATTTGTTATTAGCTTATTTTGTGAATATTGCTTGTTACATGAAGAACTGTTCATTAAAAAACATTTTTTTTTCCTTTTTCATTTATTTAAAAGGAAATAAACCTAAGTGAATATTATGCCTTGATAAGTAGGCATTATAATACAGGGAATAAAAATTTTGAAATTTTTTAATCACAATTTGGTTGACTACTTAATTTATAGTGCATGGCGTTTTTAAAAAGTGCTTGAAAGTGCTTATTTTCGTATTTTGAAAATGATTGTTTTTTTGTTTTTGTTTACCATGTCGATTTTCGCCATGTATTATGCAAAAGCGTGCTTTTCACATTATTCTATCCAACGTTTTCATAATTCATTCAACCACGATCTTTTACAGCATACTGTTGGTCTAAAACGTATGAAAACTCTAATCATTTGACATGTATGATGAAATACTTGTGAATCTGCATGTGCGTCGCTGAGCTGTGTTCGGTGAGATTCTTGTACTCTCATGTGCAACTCTGCTGCATTTTGCAAGATATTCTCAATTTCAGACTTAATTTTCCACCCTCTGATATTGAACCGAAAAATCTCTCCTAACTTTTTATGGTTACTAATATAATCACGAAAAAAGTTCTTTCTCAGAAACTAGTTATTTTATCTTGTAAAGTCTTTAAAAATTATTTTGCATTTTGTTAATGTATATAGTGCTTAAAAATATTTTTTGAGTGCTTAAAAATTACTTTAAAGGTGCTTATTTTATGTTGAGAGATTTGGCTACGCACCATGTACTGGGAATAAAGATTTTGATATTATTAATCACAAATTAACTTAATTAATATTCCGGTATCTTTTCAATTTAAAATTTATTCTCAGTTTTTGTTATTGATTTTAAAGAGAAACTAATATTGTATGTTTGTAGTGTCTATTTGTTTACAAAGTCTGTGTTTTTTAGGCATCACTAGATGAGCCTACACAGTCTGTTATTATGCATAGAACAGAGCCATCTAGAATCCAAGCTTTGTCACTACAGCTAGCTGACAAATTAATATCTCTCACTGAAAATAATGAACGACTGATGGATATAAAAATGGGATCCACTTACTTCAATCGAAATATGGGTAAATATTACCTTTTTTTTTCTTTTTTTAGTTGTTCAAATTTGTCTGTGGAGCTTTTTTTTAAAATAATATTTTATAAAGAAAACATAAAAAATCTATGGTAAATGTATTTCTTTACCACACAAAATTTTCTACTTTCAGGGTATCCGCGCACCTGGAAAGTCATGAATTTCAGTATTGAACAAAATTTGTCATGATTTTAAAAAAAGTCATGGAAAGTCATGAATTTAGGTCGCCAAAAAATCTAATTATTAAACTGGAATTTACCCCTCCCCCCATTTTTTGATGTTCCGTATATCTGTAACAAACTCCCCACTCACAGTCATATTTTATTAAAATATAAAAAATTTTTATCATGTTCTTTAAAAATTGTGTTCTTTCAAATAATGAAGAAGAAAAGAAAAATCATTTCTAGAGCAAAACTATATTTTAAAATTCTAGCTGAAGCAAGCCAGTGATTGGCGAATTCCGAAATGAGAATAGAAAAATCAGAAGTATTTCTTTCCTTCCCCTTAAACAAGAAAAATATCTTAAGAATATAATTCTGCAGAAAAAAGAAAAAAAATTACTTTATTTTTTCAGCTATTTTATTGCTTCAAATCTTTATTTTCTCTGTTTTTTAAATTAAAAATCTATAATTATGAAGATGCAGAGTATAACAGGTATGGTTACACCTATAATTTCAATAAATGTTATTATGATGCTTTTTTAAATTTACTATTGTGTTTTTGTCAGAGAAAACATTAACTTCAAAAAGTCATGAAAAATTTTTGGAATTAGTCATGAAAAGTCATGAATTTGAAAATCTAAAATGTAGCAGATACCCTGTACTTTCATGTCATAATTTTTCTTGTTTGCAATTTCGTATGAGTATTCATTTATAGTTCTGTTAAACTTATAGCATTAAAATTTTGAAAAATATCGTTCAGCAGAAAAGATGTTAAATAAATTAAAAAAAGTCTGAGATTCTGTTGAATAGCTTGTTTCAATTGCTGTGCTTACAATTTAACGTTTCTCAACAACATTATTTGTAGAAAATGATTAACAATCGTTTTGGAGTTGCTTTGAAATGGAGTATGTGTGTTAATTATAAATTTATGTAATTATTTACATTTGATATTAAAAATTCACTGCTATTAATGCAGCATAAGATATTTTTGAAAATGTTGCACTTATACTATTGTTAAAAATTTAACTTTTAAGCATCTTTGGTCTGATTTTAAATTGCAAAGTGGCAGAATTCAAATAAATAAGTTTTTCTGTGCTTCTTAGTTGTGGATGTTGACAACTTTTTCAGCTCCTCTTAGTATATAGTGTCTTGAGCAATTATTAATTTTTAGTTTTCTATTAAATTATTATTTCTAACTTCTATGATGAGTAAATATTTTTTTTAGTTGTTTCTACTAGATAAAAATATGTTATTCAAGGGCTTTCATTGCTCCAAACATTTCTTCTCAGCTAAATTTGTAAAGATTGGAATTATCTAACATAAAGGCGAATTTTAAATTTTTGTTTATTCAAAATGTAGCCAATCATGTAAAAGAAATTTTCTCATATCATAGCCTGTACAAATAATACATTTAATTATTTTTCATTTTATTACATTTTACATTACATAAATTTTGTTCATTTCTGAAAAATGCTATTCTTATATGTACAGACAACTATTAACTTGTGTGACTTTTAGCAAGATTACATTTGTAAATATACTTTTAACATTGTTACATTCTTAACTTAATCATTTTTTAATGTAGGACAACAAACTGGTAATAGGGATAACAACTATCAAAAAGGAAACTACAATCAACAGGACAGAAATTGGAGTAAGTATTTTTGTAGTGTGTGTTTGTATATTGTTTAATAAAATCAATAGTGCAACTGCTGTACTGTACCTTACAAGAAAAATAATTACTATTTTCTTAATCGTATTAAAATTCTAAAATTTGAAATTTCGCATTTCTTTTATGCTGTGGCTGTGATCATTTCACAAACATTTCTTACCGAACCAGATCACGCTCTTAGAGTTCACTTGTTCTACATATTAAGAATTCAGATTTTTTCTTTTCTGGATTATACTTCACATATTTGAGCTCTTTTCTTTTTTATTGTAGATATCAATGAAATATTCCAATCACTTAGAAGCAAAATGTACAGGTGTGAATTACGTTTTGTTATGAAACCCTGGAATAATTAATGTTGCAGGAGGGATAAATTAAATTTAATTAATGCGAACTATATTATCTTTAAGTGAACTTTAAATATATATATATATTTTTCATATTTAATGAGATTAATAGAATAAAACTGAAAGAATCTTATGTTTTCAGTTAGACACTTTATCAAACAAGAAATTTTTTAACCCTGAAAACTAAAAAATTTGTGTTTTATGTGAAGTTTGTGTTCTGTTAAAAATTCTATTGAAATTGGTTGTATAGTTATTGTTCGTTTTCTATATACAGTCTAACTCGCTTCAAATAAACATAAACGAACCAAGTGTTTATTAAAACAGGTTTAGGAAAATTACAATTCATTCAAACTAACTAAATTATAAATATGGTACTTGATTTATTTTTTATTTTATTACAAAAAAAATAATTAGTTTTTTTAACTGTCTTGGCTGTGTTATTGTTCTTAGGATAAAACCCTTGGCCCTAAAACATATGCCATTTGCTACCCTATTTTTGAAAAAATTTCATGTGTTCACTGGATTTAAAACTCATCATTAACTTTCAGTTGTCTTGGAAATGTTAAATAAATTTAAACAAGAAGGGATACTCATTAAAAGCGAGTTGTGCTCTTATAGACTTGAAGTTGTACCAAAGTTTTTTTATTTTTTTTATTTCTTCATTAAATCTTGTGTAGAGCATTGTGAACCTTTAAAAAAAAAGTTATAAATGGTTTCAAAATCTTAAAAAATTTCCCCATTTTTACATGGAAATTCTGATAACTGTATGACTTTTTTAGATTTAACAACAAAAAAATTTCTTTCAAATAAATTTTGTTATTGTACTTATTATTATTATTATTTTCTTTAAACAGATCGAAGACCTGGACAGAGAGCCTACTAAATTGAAGAAGTATTACGTCTTTTCTGTTTTAAATTTTTGGAAGCCAAGAATTCCAGTGTTTGTGCTCAAGAGGTGGAGTGAAAAGTTGATTATACGAACTCTAATGTGAAGATCAAATTAAAATACTTTTTTTTCCACAGCTTGATAAAAAATGAATAAAAAAGTTTTGTTAAGAAAAATACATTCTGTTTTATTTAGAATTTTTATATAAGTGGAGGTTCACTCATTCGTATACTAGTATATATAATTTAATTGGATTCTGTAAAATTTTGTTAGTGCCTAATATCATCTCAATTATATAGTTTTTAGTCAAAAAATTTTCTAATGTAAATTGATGTATAGAAATTTTTTTTAATTTAATGTTCTAGTTCAGGTTTTTTAGCTTAAACAATCACAATATATTTCCCAAATTGTGGCCCTGAATTGCCAGATAAAAAAGATATTACTTTAATTAGGGTGGGAGGACAAACCAAGGTCTAAATGAGATGGTCTATAGTAACCTTCAGCTTTCTACTAAAAAAAATAGTAGGAAATTTTAAAAACAAAAAGTGTAATTTATGTATTTTAATAATTAATTTCAAGAATTTTATTTTTAGGATTTATTTTAAAAACAAGTGTAATTTATGTATTTTCATGATTAATTTTTTTATGGAGAAATGTTTAAATAGATTGAAAGAAATGAGTAACAATAATTAATGAGAACAAGCAATGATGAATGATAAGCAACTGCAGAGGTTGGTGATAATTATATTAAATTAATTTACATAATTAAATAAAGTGATGTTTAAATTTAATTATAATAATTTATTTGGCATTAAACAATTTAAATTAGGTTGGGAGAACAACCCAGGGTCTATATGTAGCCTTCAGCTTTCTAGCCAAGAAATAGTTTAAAAATTTAATTATTTCAAACACAAAGAAACTAATCATGAAATTTTAAAAAAACGAGTTCAAGAATTTTATTTTAAGAACAAAAAGTGTAGTTTATGTATTTTCAAAAGTAATTTTTATGTAGAAAATAGATTGAAAGAAATGATGAATGAGAGCAAACAAAGGGGAATGATAAGCAACCAGGTTTGTGTCACAACCTCTATGGTTGGCAACCATAGAGGTTGATTTTAACTATGTTAAATTAATTAACAGAGTAACGTAAAGTGATATTTATATTTAGTTATAATAATTCATTTGGCATTAAAAAATTGTATAACAAGAGTAAATATTCAATAATTTTTTCTAATAGAAATAATTATTTAGATACTATAAAATTTGGTTATATACTTTAATGTTCTGGTTCAGGTTTTATTGCTTAAACAATCAAGATTTATTACCCTAATAGTGGACCTGAATTACTGGATAAAAAAGGTAATTAACAGAATAAAGTAAAGTGATGTTTAAATTTAGTTATAATAAATTTTTTTTTAAAAAAAATGAATGTATAACAAGAGTAAATATTCCATCATTTTTTTTAATAGAAATAGTAGTTAACCTATAAAACCCACAAAAATAAAACTGTTCTCAATTTAAAAAAAAAATAATAATATTTTAATTTTTAGATTGAACTGATGATAGATTTTAGAAAGGCTTTTTACAAGTATAATAAGAAAATTATTAGAGTTAAAAAATAAATAAAGCTTAACTATATCTTTTGAAAAAAAACTTAAGCAATTTTTAATGTTTATAGATAATACAGAAATCGGCATTGCAAGTATTTACTATAATTTTCTGAAAATATTTTCGTTTTGAATGTTGAAATGAAGATTGGTTCTTAGTTATATTGGCATTCTAAAATGAGTATTTTCTCAGCTTACAAGTGAACTGTATGTATTGGTTCAATTTTTTGTCTCTTTCTTGAGCGCATGAAGATTAATGTAATAGAACTTGGCGTTGTATGATGCTTAAAGACTTAGTATTGGTGGGACTGAAAAGCTGAGGAGGCAGAGTTTTGGCCTAAAGACGAGTTTGAGAGCCCTCTTATAAGCAGACAAGCATAGAAAGATTAAAGAAGATTTTTCTTGTCTAAATTGTTACATTCTTTAGTATTACAAAATTCATTAAGTTAAATTAACTTAATTTCTTTATTCTAAGTGCCCTACTCGCTAATGCTCACCAACCTCCAGAACAGTTAACACAGTTCATTTCATTTGGCTCTGTGACCACTTTAATTTTTAATACATTATAAGCTACTTCCTGCTCCAACCAAATATTCTCGTTTCCCTCGGTAAATCCGAGTTCTCGTTATAAACGAGTTCGGATTTAACGAGTTGTACTTATCTTTACTGCTAAACTAAATTACGCAGTTAAATATATATATATACGAGGGTTGTAAATTAAATAGTGGCAACCTAACCTTGAAACTCACAGAAGGGCGGGCATGCTCAAATAGGATAAGGCTTAATGACGAGATGATTGAACTCATCGTGCTACTGTCCTATACGGTAAAGCATTTGCTCCACAGGTTTCCACTAATCCTCGAGAACATTCTGTTGCATTTTTGCCACGGGCAACCTCGATTTTAAGCCACGACCGCTGATTACCTTTTGAAAACATGCTTTAGATCGATGGAAACGAAACTCCTAACTTTAACGCCACACAACAAGAACCCTTATAAGCAGATCGACTGTTTTTTTGCACTCTACACATAGACAACAGCACCACATCTCAGCTCCCATATCCTGTTCGAGCATGCCCGCCCTTCTGTGAGTTTCAAGGTTAAGTTGTTTACAACCCTCGTATATATCTTTTAACTTTGACACGAAATAACTCAAAAACTAATGATCATTTTCTTAAACCTCTCTAACCTTCCTTCCTCTAATTTTTTTTTTTTTTTACTTTTTTCATCTATTTCAAAGTCCAAGTCCCGCAGTGAACTNAAGACACGGTTCTCATCAGATCACCGAAGTCAAGCATCACTGGCTGCGGTCAGTGTGCGGGTGGGTGACCCACTTGGATCAGTCTGCGTAGGGACCGAGGGTGTGCGGTATTGGTCCTCGTTAAACTGTGCTACCGTAAAGTGCTCGACTTCGCGCGCAGGTCGTTGGGCTACCGAAGCGGGGATGCCATCCCCTCTGCAGAGGATCATCCTCAGGGATGCTTCCCAGACCGTCGCCAATAGCCCATTGTGCAGCTCTAGTGCGACGTAAATGAAACTACAAACAGAAACTACAATCCCTTATGAAAAAATCGAAGTACAAATGAGGTATATTTGAAAGGTATAAAGGAGGTTGTTATTTAAATACGTCGTTAAGGTTGAAAAGGGTGCAAATGAATACCTCAAAATCAACCTCAAATATGCCTTAAATATACCTCCAGAGGTATGTATGTTTCAACCTGAGGTGTTTAATTTTATATCTGTGGAGAGGTAGAAATTTACTACTTTAAAGTGTTTTATTTTCAACCTTAGGTTATTACTTATCAGCCTGAAGTATATTTTTTTACACTTGTGGAAGTATTTATTCAACAACCTAAGGTGTGTCATTTTACACTTCAGGTTATTATAAATCAACCTCAGGTGTAT